CACAGCGGTGTAAATCAGAGGGTACGGGCAGACATCTTGTTGTGAACCTTCACGTCTTATCTATCAATCAGCTTCGGTTAAGTAACTTTACCAATACTCCACGGGATTATTAATAACTTTAATATTACAGTCACTATTCTAACATTGTAGTTGTATCCAAAAGCTTGTACTTTCCAGAGAATAATAATTATGTTAGGTTATTGTTTCAACGAAGTGTACTCAATCTTAACTTGAAATTAGTGTTATTGATCAAACGGGTAACCGTAGAAATATTTGAAACATCGGTATTCGATAGCCCTCCACTGACAGTAAGCTTCGTGCACAAAACAGCAAAACGATTCTTTAAACTTATGTTCTAGCTAGAATATCTCAAGCGAATTTACGATATTATTATTATATTATTAAAAGCGTTTAAAGCCATGTTTTTCAAGTACTTTCGCAAACACTTACGTGTCAGTATAATAGTTTAGCTAACAACGTAAGCACGCAAGTTCAATGTAATCATAATGTTTCTTATGTCAATACAACCTTCGGACATGGAAAACATTTTCCTTAAGTTTCCGTCCGTTCGTCATAAAACAACATAATTATTTCCACCAGTAATTCTAATTATGTCTCCTGTACAATGTTGTGTGTGACTAATGGACCCAATAAACCCTGACAAGGACTAGATAATCCATTTAAACCTGATATTTATTCAAAGATAATGTACCTACGTCTTGTACCTGTTCTATCAAATATATACAAATCAAATCTGGTTCATTAATATTAATAATACACAGCACCTGTAAATATATAAGTGATATACCTTTAATAAAATTAATTACGTAAAAATCGTCCATTATAATAAATTATTTATGTATTTAATTCTATCACGGATTCGTCTCATGCTTATTTTGATCAAAACAAAGTTGTTGGTTGGACAAAGAAAATGTCTACTTTAGAAAATTGACAGCGACAAACGAACGAATATAAATAATACGAATGCTAACGTATGTCGACAAGCCCACAACACTTCCTACCGCAAAGGGCAACTGGAGCAACTGATGAAGTAATTAAAAAAAGAATTCTGAGTTTGTTATTCTTAAAATTAAACAACAGAATATTATTTTCCATGTTTTTCTATTATAAATTACAAAATATGGTATAAATCAAATCTGTCACTATGTTTGTCCTACCACCATGACGATGTTCATTTGTTTTTACAGTGAGACCCTTTAATTGTGTAGTTTTATCTGTACAAATTAAAATAATTATTAGAAGCACATTTCCAATACTACGCCTATTCTAAAGAATTTCAAACAAACAATTTTTTTCGCTTAACATCCGGGCTAGTCTGACTCCAAAGCTTTTAATGGTGTCCAAATGACTTAATTGAATTAATACTTTAATTGTTTTAACATCAAACAAAAAATGCCAACACAAATTTTTGTTTTTGCACGATGACATTTTTGAACTTCTGACATTTGGAAAACAAAAAAAAAACTAGGAAATGACAAAACATGAATTTAATTGTATTTTTTTTTTGTTTGAGAGCTTGCGTCGTTCAAAGCGTCTTTAGTTGAGTATACTTTTCTGAGGGTCAATGTAAAAAGCAAATATTAAAGTTGACAACAAAAAATCTTAACGAATTGTGACCCAGAGTAACCTTGTCATTACGTAAAAAGTGTTATTATTTAGTCTTCTTTTTTACTTCTTACAGATTTTGTATACAATACCGAACATTCAAGTACCAATCACGCGTCTTTATTTAAAAATTAAAACAATTTTAAAGTTATCAAATTCTTATTAAGCCCCAACCAGAAAAAAACATTTCGAACTACTACACAGTATTTTTCAGGCCTCAGTACAATATCTAAGGCCTCGTGTATTCGCCAGAAGCGTTTACAACCACGTGACACTACACGAGGACCCAAGTGATAACTATATGTATAAACAAACCACTTTTAGCTATGACTATACATATACTACATCACAGATGGTCACTTCACATCAAGTGAATCTGCTTATTACCTACTCAACATGACAAAACACAAACTATTAAATTAGTCAGCAAACATAGCTAATAATCTAGGTAGCATTAAATTATGTACCTAACTACGTACGACATCTCCTTATACATATATCGCAAATAAGTATCACTTAGATCTATTTGAATTGGTTAGGTTTAATTTAAAATTGAACCTTAGTTTTACACAATAAGAATTAAATTCAATTAGTTATATTAAGAACATAAAGTACAAATTCGTTTTTTGAAAAAACTATATTTTCAGTACGACATTGTTTAGTGATTCAAATACCGCACGCTCTTACGTCTTTTTTCTAACAAAACTGCCTATAAGGAGCCTATTTGTTTAAAAACTTAACAATCACTTCGCTGGTGACTGCGAACGAAATGGTTTCCGTCGATAATTTATTGTAAAAACATTGCAAAGCATCGTCGTGTGATAATATCCTTTAATTTGAGCTATATAGAGAGATTTGGCAATACCACATAGTACAGGCCTCCATTTAGCATGCTTGACAAGGGTACTCACCTGGCTCTTGGTCAATGTCAACTACTGTGAAGTTTATTTGTATTAGTTTTAGGCTGTATTCTACATTTATACATCTACGCTCATATTTACTAGGTATATTTACTTAGCTTTGAGTTATATACATTGGGTCTATGGCAATCAAAAGGACACTGATCCTAACATTATTCCAACCTCCCGCTGCGATATAAAGTAAGTATCTACTTGAAATAATAAAAAATAACTGTTTGTTAAAAACAGGAAATCTTAAATTTATAAATCCTTAATCCGAAAACAAAAGCTTAAAATATATTCATTGTCAACTTATAAAAAATAATCGTAAAAATGATTAAAACTCACAATAAATCTACAACTTAATTCATATTTATCAAATCGAATTTGTATAAAATATGCCATACGCATAATCTCATATAATATTGTTAATGATAAAACAAACTTAAAGGCCCTGAGCATAAGGTGAAGGAAATGGTGACCTTTGCAAAAATGCAAAGTTTTGCAACGATTGATAACATTTAGACTGAGAGGAGATAGTTGATTAGGCACTGCAAATTATTGCCATTAATAAATAGTTATATACTTACATACTATAATTAAATTTAATATAGATATTTAGTATACCTATACCCACTTCATCTGCATAAATCGAATGTTATAAATATTATTGAAGCCCGTAAAGCTACAGAATGTTTAGATACATGCATATATGCATCGCTTCTTTTGAGTTATGTAAAATCATAGCCTTATACAGGTCAGTGTCAAATTATATCGTGTTAATTATACTTATAAGTAATAATGACCTTAGCATACCTCGAAATAATAATAAAGAAATTAGCACAATTTACTGTGTGTATTGAAAATATTTAAGTATATAAATTGCCAAATCATCTATAAATAATGGGCTGCATCAAAAGGTTGAAGATATGTCATGAATGCATTAAGAGGATAGTGTGAAGAGCCATGAATAACGATAATGTTGCTAGTACCAAGAAAATCATGAGCGTATGAAGCTTTCACATAGAAAACCTAAGATTCGATACGGTTGTACTTGAGTAGGTACTTGTTTGTGTATTTGCACCTAAACAGGGGAACCCTATTTTCTATTCTCAAGTATATATATGAGAAAATATTAAAGATGTCTTCGCGTTTTAGTAAACAAAAGAACTAAGCTAAATATTTCAGACCAAAATTCGCGAAATATTTCAGCTATTTCGAGTCTTTGATAGAATTTTTTCCAATTTTATTTTTAATTTAAAATCTGTTGCCTAAGGACAGTTTCTATTCTATGGTGTAATTAAAACATTAACACAACAAAGAGACAGATTGTAACATGGCAGTGTAATGAGAAAGAATTTGCAATATATCGCAACAATCTGTAACTCAATCAAAGTACGTCAATAGTATCTTTGTTATAACTGCTTCCTACACTATGTAGGTACTTGTTTATAGTGAACAAAGACTGTTAGTAAACACGTCCTGCAATGCAAATACCATGAAACAATACAATCTCGTTTACCTTAATAAATTTTCCTTATTATATGGGAAAAAAATGTTCGTCATAATTTTTTTCATAAACTGAATGGACCGGAGTAGAATTAGTACTTCGACCTCAAGCTTGCAACACTTTACCTTGGTCATTCTTGACCATAAGACTATAATGTTTCTCATAAAACAAAACGTGTCTGCTCTACAGATACGACTTTTCTAGTTTCAATTAAAACTTGATATTTTTAAACATTTTTGTGGTTTTACAACAGTCATTATCCCCCCACTAAAAGTCGTTAAGACTGGTATATCGATATTAAATTATAATTTTAATTAAATTCTTGAAATAATTTTTATGCTCAAGATTACGACTTGAATCTAGTTTGTCTAGCATTTTTATAGAAATACACGTTTTTCGAGGTAAATAGGTATGTCTGCATAAATAAAAATGATGAAGGCACCCATTTATTCCGCATCGCATGATTGTAGATTAGCTCGGATTTTAACAATATAGGTATTTGGAATGTCTAATTCTTTAGGAACCTTGTACACTTTTATTATTCCACATAAGAAACTTTTACCCAGATTTAAGTAATTGTGTTTGCAGTTCGTAATCAAGTTCTTAGAAATATTTTGATTCCTTATAACCAGAAGTGTGATGAAACCACTCGGACAAAGACTACTTATTTCTTATTTACATAATACATATATACAAATCAATGATCTATTGTTGAACTAAAAGTAGCGATGGCACTGAACTTGAAACAAAACTTGAGAGTTACGATAGATTGTTTCGCAAATCCATAATGACACCCAATATGTTTTCGTTTTTAAACTGATTTATTTACCTTCCTTGTAGATTAGTGTTTATTTTTTATACGTAAACAATTCTGCATTTTAATTATTTATATTTTACTTAATTTTAAAGCGGAAAAAAATTTATGTTAGATTTTTATGAATAAATAAATTATTATATCAACTTACCGATGAAGCAAAGGCTCCTGCACAAATTTTCACTAAATACACTGGTGTATTGGTATGCAGTATCGCTCAAGCAGCTATAGTAGAGTAACGTGAGCAACAGTCGGGCAGTTAGGCGCGAACTGCGAGCGCATGGGCAACCACGGGGCACTTTTACACTAGTAATGTTCGCGCGCGCTCATTCCACCCGTATATATCACAGAGCTATTCTACGTCACAGTCTCCAAGATAAGGGCTTCGCTTTGAACAGTTTCCATGTCCACACACTGCGTGCTCTATCTCCGGCACCTAATCGATATCGAAAAGACAATTAATGCAGCCTCCTCTAAAATTATAATGTAACACTCGATTATTCATTTTGATAAAATCGATAAAAAGAAAATTTTAATCGATAAAAAGACTGAGAAATATAAAAAAAATAGTTTTGTTATGAATGAAGTTTGACTTTGTTATTCTGTCACAGTAAAGTGTTAATGAGGTGTAATATAAGTGCAAAGGAGGTTGAATGTATTCAAAAAGACTAAGTTAGTATGAGACCAATTGTGTTGGTCCAGTCCGCCTATCAAGCGTGGTGATTATGTTATTTCAACTATCTTATTTAGAGGGCCTACGGGATTATTGTTGTTGTTGACATTTAAAGTTTTGTTTTTGTGACACGAACTTGCAATATCGGTTCTGTTTGTAATAGACGTAAGTACAGCACACTCTGTTTAGAAGTATAGGTAACCTTTACAAAAAATTAACGGTTTATAGCTGGACACAAAAATGAGGAAAACTATTTTATTTTTTTTAGAATAGTAAGTACCTAGTATGATATCACACGGGTAATAATAAAAACATTACATAACATAAAAATAAATTGAAAATCAAACTGCATCACTCACAAGCTGTATCTTAGAAAGTCAAATAAATTAAAATCCAAACTGCATCACTCACATGCTATATCTAAGTGAATTAAATAAAAATAAAATACTTATATCTATTTTTAAGTAAATTTAAAGCCTTGCCGTTAAAATAATTAAACATGTACCTACAAATTTTCCCACATTAAATAAAATGCAATTGTGTACAACTTTACATATTTTACATTTTTTATTATTAAAAATAATTCGTAAACGTAATTATTTACTTGTAAGGACTTGTCTGGGATTTTTCCCTCCGGATACTTAGTGAATAGGTACATTTTAAATTTCTTTAATAATTTTTAGCCCGCGTCGCATAGTAGTTACATCTATATTTCTTAGCCAACCAGTCAATGACTTCGCTACAACCCTTTTCTGGTTTGTCGAGTTATTAACTGGACAAACGAGAAATGAGAATTTCAGGGTTCCAGTGTAATAATCTATGTGGATCTATGAACTTAATAAAAGTATTAAAAAATACAAAATCTTTATTTCTGTATGCAAAAAAGTTTTACATAACTTGGTAATTGAAGCCTCTTTTTAAGCAAGTAATGTCTTTATTAGGACACTCCGCTTCTCCACATCGATAGTACAATAAAACAATAATGATTGATAAAACATACAAACTATCAAATTAAACCATGTACCAGCTACTATACCTTAAAGAAAAACATTATCTTTGGAAATCAACCATTTGCACCGAGTACCTACATACATTGCATCTCTGGCAACAGACGGATTCTATTAAGACGTTCAATAAAATGTTTCCTCTTAAATTTAAATAAATGATGTAATTTTGAAACAGTTATAACCATGACAAACATTTATTAATTAAGCGTGAAATTAACAGATTAATAAATGTATAAACAGCAAATTGTACGTGTGGTATACCCCATCGCGACACATCTCGAAACTAGAGAGCTGGTCTGTTCTTCAAACATAGGTTAGTAAGTACTTTCTTACAATATGGCAATTGGGTAGTTTCTCAGGTCAAAAATAAATTAATTCGACTTTTCAATACTATAAAATATTGAAAAATTATCATACTCTTAGTCATTGATCAATCGATACGCTTTAGTTTTTTTTAGCTAATTTTTAAGAAATAAGTACGCTTTTACGCAAAAATACTATGACGTCATAATTCAGTGTTTCATATACAAGTTTAATGGAAAAGTATCGTTTGTGATATTTGGATAAAAGTATTTAATTTGACTAGTTAGAAACTGCCGTATTCTTCCAACAATGATGTCGAGTAGGGAAAAGGCCCAAAAGCATATTCCCTGTTGTCATCAATATGGATAAATTTTAAAAACCAATACTTATAGTTAGTTATTTTGAGTTTTATACTACCAACATTTAAGTCATTAATTGCCGACAGATACCTAATTGTTGAGCGTAAATCCATCGCTAGTGCAGCCCATTTTTATATGTTTCATGGTTTTCAAAGGTTTTAACCATGAAGTTTCTTGCTCGTTCTTCTCCATCGGAATCACGCTTTGGAACGAGTAATACTGAAAGGTCTAATTGAAATAAATTATTTTGACTTTGACTTCATTGACTTTAAGGAAGAAAATTTAAACAAAAAATGTGTAAATGGGACTTAAACCCAAGGTCGCTGTGTTTTCACGTGCCATAAAATTTTCACGTGTCACTAATTATTCAAATAGACCCTAAAAATGTTGTTTACAACCACAAAACTTGAAATATTAGTCGATATTTTTAGATAATATAAACGATTGTTTAATACTCGACTAGTTCTTAATCGATTCGATCGTTTTTATTGTTAATGGACTTAATTTACTAATTTAATAGTGACCGATGTATATGTAATAAAACCTGGGCAGACGTATACCCATTACCCATCCTAATATTTAATTCAGCGAAAATTAATCAAGACTTTTTTCACAAGATACTAAATATCCACATTTATCTTCACAACTAATATAAAGACACTGTAAAAGCACGTTTGTACCAATGAACTAACTTAGTACAATTTTGTTTTATTGAAAAATTTGCAATAAAAAAATAATATAATATAATACTTTTCAAAAATATACTGATGATAAAACAGTAAGAGAAATATAATTCGAAAAAAAAGGACTTGTTTAAGTGTTTGTCTGTTTACACACGCTAATCTACGAAACTGATGGACGGATTGGAATAAAACTTTAATGTTGTATACATAATTAGGCTGGATAACAGATAGAGTAAAATTTGTCTTGGAAATCAGGACAAGCTAATTTTTCCTTAGATCACTTTTCTACGTAGACAAACTAGTGGTCTGGAGCTAGTATAAATTAAATAAAATTAATACTAATAATATTGCAGTGAGATACCTATCAATTAATATTTAAATTACTTCCACAAATAAATTTAAATAGTGAAATGGGATATATAAAACACAGGACCCGTTTTCTTGACTTACTATTATTTTTCTTTAATAATAAAAAACTAAAATATAACATAATAATTTTTAAATGTGTATTTTTTAAGACGACGTTTGAACGTCCATCTGGAGGTACGAGACAATGTGGCCGACGATACAGACCGACTGCATATAATACCTACATTCCTGTATGTATGCGTGATTCGTCGACATTAAGGCGGTAACTTTATGGAAACCAAGACTTTGTTAATGAAGTAGAAGAACTATGCTTCGGCATGAATAGACCAACCTCATAGGAGCGATACCACTTATAATTAACCCAATATCTTTCGCCATGCGAGTGAGGTTATTGCAGACCCAATTCCCCCATTATCAATCCCAATTCCCGTGATCCTCCTTTTTTTTAAAAGAGCGGCAACGCTATTTGTCCCTAAATTTAAAACTAGAACTGTCTTTGTTACATTATTGCCTCTATTTATAAAACCTAGATTAAGTTAACTTTCCCGGTCGTTATTATATTAAGACTATTTTTTCCTCAATATCTGACCTATTTTTAATTACTTATTCATGTGACCCATATTTTTAATATAATATATATTTTTTATTTTTATATACTTTGCGTGTTGTAGTAAATGAGCTCCACTCCTACCAATATCTTCATCATGACTTAATAATGTTAGGAGCTGTCACTTTTAGTGAAACTATGAGTGACCGCACATGTATGCAAATTGTAAGTAATAATGTTACCCATATTTAGCTTAATGATAGTTTCATTGTAGACACTGTAGCGCGTCACAACACCGCTTGATGTTACTAGGGCCCTTACTGTTTTTGAGCAACCTCCAAAAAAGTATGCGATATGCGTGTAAACATTTAGCACAAAGGATTCAGTACTATTATTCTCTTAAAACGGTGATAAATAACATATATTATTTATTATTATAAATTAATATTAAAATAATATTAAACATGAAAAATTAACAACAAGAATCAAATTGTAAATTGAAAATTATTTGGAATTTCCCACTTAAATTTTATTAAAGGAAATGTACATTTTGGTATCAAGTTGATATATTTAATGACTTACCTATGTATTGTAGTACCGTGGAACCGGATCATAATAACGCGGCTCGGTTGCAAAAAATGTAAAGAATGCGTACTTCCCCGGACAAACTACTCCAAGTACTTATAGAGTGGAGTAGTATTTAGTGTCAGGACCGGATACATTTTTTAATCGTAACTTTATTATAAAAATACTACATATATAGGCATGTACATCTCCGCAGGGTTACAATTTTCACCCTTCGTTATAACAGTCCACTACTGGTATAAAGATAATCTTAATATCTGTTTTAAAACAGAGTCTGCAATCGCACGAAGTGCATACATTACAGAAAATCGGCGTGAAACAACCACAGCGTTGTGTTTCGCCGTGCGAGTGAAGTTTTTGATATCAGGTAATCCATCAGTTCGTTTGCCATCCTATCATAAAAAAAAATTACATAATAAAAATTGGCCGAACGAAAATATTTTATCTCACGATTCGTAGTATCGTCTATCGGTAGATATTTCCCATATTGAAAAGTTACACTTTTATCCATTATAAAATATCCCCTAGCATTTGTAAAATAGCTTAAAGCTACTAGCCTGTCACTCAACGGTTATAGTTATAAGAAGGTTGATAGTACTACTCATACAAACTTCACATATTTCTGAACACATCCACGGACATTATTAGCAATCCAGTATCGACGTAACAACAGATTTCATTAGATAAACTGCTCTCAAAGGAATTGACTTCTGAATAGCAATAAGCAATAAAACACAATCATCAACGATGTTGTAAATATAATGCTGTGCAACATTGT